AGGGTATTACAAACAATAATATATTTGGATCAATGAACATTATGTTCTTTAAAGTGTCTTCTGAGTTATTTCTGATGCACTTAGTAAAATTCACCTGGCAAAACTGAGTAGTTTTTGATTTGTGACATGGTACATCCTTGCTTTCCAGAAAGAGTGAACCAAATGTGAATGTCTTGAGTAACTCTTGTCAACACTGGTTTTTATCACTTTCATTAAGTTTAGCTACTTTAGTCCTTAAGATCAGGAACAAGAAAAGGGGGTACCCTTTCTTGCTAACTCATTGTACTGGAAGTCTTACTAGTACATAAAGACAAAAAGAAAAAAAGGAAATAAAATGTGTAGATAGTGGGAAGAAAAATAAAAGTCTTTCTTTATAGATGGCATGATGGTCTGTGTAAAAAAACAAAGAGTAATAATAAAAATTTTCTGTTACTTATAAGTGAATATAACATAGCACTATAGCAAGGTTGCAGGTATATTTACAAAAGTTACTTGTTTTCCTATATACCAACAATGATCAAATGAAATTCAAATTTAAAAAAGTACCATTTATAATAGTACCCAGAAAATGAAATGATTAGGTATAAGTCTAACAAAATATGCAGAGAATCTATAGGCAAGAAACTATAAAACTCATGAGAGAAATTAAGAAGATCTAAATAAATGAAGAGATAGTCTGTGTTCATGAATTAGAATATCTAATACTTAATTAGTGTCAATTCTTCCCACCCTGATCTGTAGAATAGAAGCGATCGCAACAAAATCTCTGCAAGAATTTTGTAGGTATTAACTGATTCTATAGTTTATATAGAAAGACAGAATACCCAGAATAGCTAAAAAAATACTGTGAAAAAGAAAAACATCAGAGGACTGATAGTACTTGACTTTAAGACCTACAATAAATATACAGTGATCACAATAAAATAGTATTGGGAAAAGAATAAACACATAGATCAATGGAACAGAATACAGACCTGAGGAATAGACCCACCCAACATTTATCCAACTGACCTTTGACAAATAAACAAAGGCAATTCAAAAGGCCAGCCTTTTTAAGAATGGTGCTGGAAAAATTGGGCAACAGTATGAAAAAACAATAAACTTATGCACAAACATTACACAGTTTCACAAAAGTGAACAAAATTGGTCGTAGACAAGACAAACACAAACTATAAAACTTCCAGAAGAAAACATAGGAGAAAAATCTCTTATGACCCTGAGTTTGATAATTAGAACCAAAAGCATGATTCACAAAAGATTTATAAGTTGTACTGTATAAAAATTAAAAACACCTCTGAAAAAGCTACTGTTGAGAGAATGAAAATTCAAACCACTGAATAGGAGAAAATGTGCAAAAAAAATTTTGGTAAATGACTTGTATTAACATACATAAAGAGCCCTTACAACAATAAAAAAGTAAATAACCTATTTAAAATTGAGCAAAAGGTTTAAACAAGCACCTCACCAAAGAAAATATGCAGATAGCAAATAGGCATATGAAAAATGCTCACCATCATATGTAATTAGAGAAATGAAAATTAAAGCAACAGTGAGATACCACTATAAACTTACTAGAATGGCTAAAATCCAGTTTTAATCCACAGAGGACACCAACTGACAATACCATTTGCATTTGTGATGCAGAGCCATGGAACCTCTCATTTATTGAGTGTGGGGATGTGACAGTGTGCAGACACTTTGGAAGACACTTCTGCATGCTGTACAAAACTAAACATCATCTTCCCTTACAAATTAGCAACTGAACTCCCAGATATTTGCACCATTGATTTGACAACATATGTCTCCACATAAAATCCTGTACATGAATGTTTGTTTATAGCAGTTTTATTCATAATAGTTAAGAACTGGAAGCAACCAACAGTTCCTTAATAAGTGAATAAACAAACTGTACTACATCGAGACATGAAATATTATTTAGTCATTTAAAAAATTAGTTATCAGTCTATGAGGAGGTATGGATGAATCTCAGATGCTTATTGCTAAATAAATAGAGCCAAATGATTCCAATTATATGATATTCTGGAAAAGGTAAAACTACAGAAATAGTAAAAAGATTAGTGGATGCTGGGAGTTTAGAGGGAGTAGAAAAAGGAAGGTTTAAAATTAAGTGACAATGTCTTCACCAGCCTAATCCCTATTTCATAAATAGTTATAAGTGCTTATAAAATAACATTCCTGAAAGATGATTATTTTTTTCATCAACATGGGAAGCATCCCCTTATGTTAAAAGAGGGTTAACAAAATTTGTTTTCATAAGAGTTTGTAACAGTGTTATGCCAGATAGATGTGAAATAAATTCAGTTTTTCATAGCTGGATTGGAGCACAAAATTTAAATAAAATTTAAAATAAAGTGGTGCATAATTATACAGGACAGTTAACTTATCTAAAGTTAAAGAATGAAAATACACATTATAGAATCATCAGAGTTCATTAAAAAAATACAAAGAGGAAGTAAGAGCATTATTAAAGGAAACATCTCACCATAAAAAACAGAAAGTGAATATGTGAATGAGTAGGGTTTAACATAAGGAGAGATTCAGTAAACTGTTACAATAATCAGAATAATATAATTTACATAGAGCAAGTAATTTCTTCGTAATGCACCTGAGAAAAGTTAAAACTATAAAAGCCTTAGCAGAAAACACTGAGGTAAATTTTCAGTTTTTCAGTTTTTAGAAATGAAACTACTGTCTTGGATCAGGCAACAGTTTCTTAGATATGACATCAAGAGTACAATTGACAAAACCCAGTAAAAAGATAAGTTGTGCTTCATTGAAATAATAAATCTTTTGGATTCCAAAGAACACTATCAAGCAAGTGAAATCACAACCCACAGAATGAGAAAAAATATTTGCAAATCATCTATCTTATAAGGGACTTGAACTCAAAGTATATAAAGGATTTCTAAATGCTCAACAATGAAAAGTCAAATGATGCAACAACGTGAATCACTGTGTTGTACATTGAAACCAATGTAATATTGTACATCCAGTGTACTTCAATTAAAAAATGTTCCCAGTGGGGAAAATTAAACAAACTAACAACTACAAGTGAACAAAGCATTTCAATCAACATTTTTCCCAAAGATGACCAATAATCACATGAGAAGATGCTAAGCAACATGAGTCACTGGGGAAATTCAAATAAAACCACTGTAAGGTGTTCATTAGGATGGAAAAAAAAAAGCACTAGCAAGTTTTGGTAAGGATATAGACAAATTGGAACACTCGCACAGTGCTGGTGGGAACACACAATAGCCAGTTGCTTTGGAAAACAATTTGGCAGTTGCTCTATAGTTAAAGATAGAGTTATCACATGGCCCAGAAATTCTACTCTAGGTATATATGCATAAGATAATTGAAAACATATCCATGCAAAAGCTTATGAACGATTGTTCATGGGGTCATTTTTATATAATAAGCCAATATGGAACAAACCAAATATCCATCACTGATGGATAAGAAAAGGAGGTATTTCATAAAACAAAATTATTTCCATAAAAAGAAATGGAGTACCAACATTGATGAACCTTGAAAAGTAAAGGAAACCAGTTGCAGAAGGTCACATATATGATTCCAGTTATATGAAATACACAGAATATGGAAATCCTTAGGGACAGAAAGTAGGTTAGTAGTTGTCAGAGGCTAGGAGGATAAAGGAGAGTAACTGAAAGTGGGTAGGGATTTTCTTTCTGGAATGATAAAAATGTTCCAAAATTAGGTTATAGCAAAGATTGCCACTGTATATGTCACTGGGTTGTGCATTTAAAAAGAATTAATTCTATGGTATGTCAGTTATACTTCAATAAAGTTGTTCTAAAAAAGATGCATTTAAGAAGTAGTAGTTTTGTATTTTTATACTTCCTATCAAAATAAAATTTTAATTGAGCTTTGAATTCAAATAAACTCATTATAATGTGAGAAGATTTTAACACACAGTGTCTTGTCAATTCAAGTCTTGACTCTTCAAGGCTGAGGATAATTAGTGTCTACCTGTATTCCAGCCAACTTGAATCCCTGCTGATATGTATATAATAGGGTAGCTGGAAGGCTCTTAGATCTGAGGAGAAAGCTTTTCAACCTGGTTGTCAGAAGGGAAGGCATTGGGCATTCTGATTCTCACACTGAATAACCATCAGATCTGAAATACACTCCTGTGTGCTCATAGGGAGCCATGATAGCCTTGGCAACAGTGCAGCTAGAACTTAGTAGGCATGAAAGAGCTATTTCTTATGGTATATTGTGACACAGTTGCTCTTATCAGTCTCACACCATTAGTTTAATATCATGGATGGTGAAAAACTGCCACATACCAGACTCTGTTTATTCTCTAATTCAATGTGACCTATATCTGCATTCCTATCTAATTTATAGTGTGCTTTAAATTTAGAATTGTTAGAAAAACAAGACTTTGAAGCAACCATTTAATCTGAGCCCTTTAGAATACTGTAAAGAAATAAAAAACAAAACCAGAGAGTGATTTGCCCCGAGTTTAAGTCTATTTAGCCAAGATGTCAGGGAGAGATCTTAGGTCTCCTCACTTTACCCCAAAAGCAGTATCCTTCTCAGCAACTCCTTCTGTCAAATTCCTCTTACCCAGTTAAAGTTTGACATAAATTGCACTCTTACGTATTTTTTGGTTACTGAAATAAAAACATTTGAGAGCCATCCTTATTTCTCATACTTGGCATATGTTACAACCTTATAAAACAAAACATAGTATGTTTTATAAATGAGAAAAGAAAAATGATTTTTTTCTTTGCTTTTATGAAAGTGGCTATGTATTTTACAAATAAGAAAATTGGTCCTCAAAGCTTTTACCTAATATTCTTAAACTCACACAGCTTTTAGGTCTCCCAGAGCTAGAAACTATACCTTATCCTTCCAGTTGTATAGTCAGAATTCTCCTTATCATACCCTACTAGCTTGTGGGGCCTAGAGAATTCCATGTCTACTGAGTAGAAGTAACTCACCAGAAGTATGGAGAGGCAGTGCCTCGCTGGTTGAAGCGTATGCTGGTCACAGTTAAGAGCATGTCCAAGGCGTGGGCACTTCCCGTATGACGGCCGTAGAGTCAGGCTGGTACAATCATGAGAAGGGGAGTCATGCAGAACTTAACCCTACAAAATTGAGTGTATCAGGGTGATTGACTGTGAAACATCAAAATAATAATAGAAAAATTTTGTCACAGTAGGTACTTGTGGATGAAAATGTCACTGTATGTACTATATTGCTTTTGCATAATTGTTGCATTTCAGATTTGTTCACTGAACAAGCTCATTCAACAGACAAGTTCTCATGAAATTTCACTGGTGGGAGGCATATAAGATTTTCAGGCTTTTAATAGTTCAAACATTTCATCAGCCATCATTTAAAACACTTTACTGCACATATTAGTCATTTACAATATAAAAGCAATATCAGTACAATTCTTTTGAAGTCTGTTTCTTAACCCTTCATTCCCAAGTAAAATCTTAAGGAAAGAATGTGATAGTATCCAATCATTTTTTTAAATTATTGCTGTAATGTTTTCTCCATAAAAATTCTAGTAGGCATTCAATAAACAGAGTCAACATCATTCTACTAATATTATGTCTAATTTCACATTGGAGAGAGAAAGAATAAACCTTTATTTGGCACACACATAAGAAAGAATTTCAAACCAAAGCAGAATAAAAAGCATAATATAAAGCACTGTGTTTTAATTTTATCTTTTAATTTCTTTAAATGTATGGTATTATGTATGTGATCACCATATTTTTCAAAATGTGTATTTGTGTCTTTTCCTTAACACTCTAATTAATAATAAAATACATCATTCTTGACTCACATATTCCTTAGAAGTAATTAGCAATTACTCCCATCATTTACAGAGAATTCTATAGAAAGAATTTTAAAACCCTGTAAATATGTAATCAGCAAGTGTATGGCATATTTTTTAATTAATAGTTTCCATGTATATATCCTATACCTAGGAATTCTTTAAAATATTATTTATTGACTGGTTTTCTGTTAGAAAATCTTCACTGGGGGAAAAAAAATCCTATTTCAGGAGGTAATCTTGGAATACGGCATTCTGACTGTGGTTCTCTTTCCCTCCAACTTCCAAATAGATTGTCTCTGAGCCACGTGGTTCTGATGAACATAACCTACCTGGGTAAGAGTTAGGCCAGAGGTTGCTGGGCCCTGGAGGGAGGACCGCAGTGTGGCTCCCGTCTCCGCGGGCTGGAGGGTCTGCACAAGGGCTGCACGGGTACCGGGGGAGTGGACCTAAGCCCTGCTTTTCCAACAGCAGGCATTCAGCTCTGAGTGAATTTGGCAAAGAGAGAGGAGACTTTATCAGTGACAAAGAGAAGGCTAAATTGGTTGCTAATATAGAAAGTAGGGGTTAAATCCACTGAGGAGAAAAACAAAAACAAAAACAATTCTTTTCTGCAGAGAACAGCCTCCCCTTGCCACATGACTCCAAAAAATTCATAGTTCTCTTTGCCTTTCAGGAATTGCATAATTCCTGTCCTTAAGAACATATCAGTTAACAGATTTGAGCCTCAAATCAGTAAACAAGACAGAAATAGCAGCCAATTTAAAGGACCTCAGCGGCAAGAGACAAAGGAGGAAGGAGCACAATTCGAACCTGAGCCCCTGGCACTGGATTGTCTGTCTCGGCAGCTTGGCGCCACCCCCACCCCCACTCCGTGTAAGACCCCTTCTGCATCTCAGAGAGGGAGCTTGGAGCTTTGGGCTTCAGAGTCCCCTTCCTGTTTGCTTTTGAGTTAAGTGTTTCCTCCATGAGAGGAGCTTGAGCGAGATTGTGGAAATGGAACGGGAGGGTTCATTACCCTGGAGAAGGCTGCAGTCGTGCCATTCACAGCAGCTTCTCCGGAAGGTCTTGATCTCATCCGCTTCTCTGCTGCAGATGTGGAGAGGTCTTGGAACATGCTCAGCGCTCTTGAGAATGACTGGCGTTTCCTGTTGTACTTCCGCAAACCAAATGCTTAGCGTGCTTCAGGCTGAGTTCCTAAATGTTTGCTTCTCCAACCTTCCTGCTATAGATAGATTCTTTGTTCTTTCGTATTTTCCCTGGACTTTCATTCCTCTTCCTTTTCCAATATTCAAGTAAACCTTCATGCCTATGTTCTACCTTTATGCCCAAAAATACATAGTGTGTGTCCATTTTCCAGATAAAACCCAATGAAATAAAGATCCAATAATGATATCACTATACATACATTTATGCTTACATTTATATTTTTAGTTATTTATATGTTTCTGGTCATATCTGACCAGACGTAGATGCTCTGAGTAGGGCAGTAATGTGGTTTTGCCAACAGATTCATCTGCTTATGCATTTGCTTCACAATATGCATTATGAAGCCTCAGAGTGACTTTGAAGAAAACATTCAATACATGACTTAAGGGAGAAGAAAGTAGTTATTGCTAAGACCCAAAATAATGACCTGAAAAACAGCTGCAAGAAATATCACAAAGCAAGTAATAAAAATATTGAAACACAAATATTATAAAAGAAAAGAGCCTTGGAGGATATTTACATGTAGACCTAACAGCTCAAAGAATTGGCAAGGATTAAATTAGTAACTCAAAGAAAGGGTCCCTGGGCTTTGAAGAGGACTCCAGATCAAAAGGTCGCATCACAATATTACTGGAGAAAGAAATGCACACCTGGTCATACACTGATGGAAGTGTTCAATCCAAAAAATAAAGAAAAAAATGCTTTTTTTTACTCTTCCCTACAGAAAGAACAAGAGAAAAAAATCATATAGTCATTGTACATTTCTGCCACACTGCTGCCTGTGTAGTACCATCATTGTGCAGTTTCTAAGATTCCGACTCCAGAGAATCTTTTCCCTGGCCAGGAAGTCGTTGTCATGAGCAAAGAAATCGATTTTTCTGAGCATTTCTAGCCCTAGTCTAGACTGACAAATTAGTCATGATCATTTGAAATTTAAAGATTCTCTGGCTATACAAATAGCAGTATATCTTTTCTCTAGATTAAGTCTTATTGATTCATTTTAAAATAAATAATAAGATGGAAGTCTTAGGATATCACATTCCCAGAAAATGATGTGTCTTACATTTCTCCTTTATTCTCTAATCAACTATAAAAGTGTTTGCATTTATCTTAAAAAGTGTGTGTATTTATTTAGTTTTTTATAACATTCAATGCGGCCTTGCTGTTTTCATCCCTCTGCTTGTGAGATTTCAGTCCTTTTCATGCCTGGCTGGACGTAGACCCCCTGAGTGGGCAGTAATAAGGTTCTGTCAGCAGATTCATCTGCTTAAAGGCTAAGGTGGGAAGGTAATGTTCACATGCTTTTATTATCTATCTTAAGAAAAAGGGGCAAAAAATATATCCAATCATAATTCCATTACTTCATGTGGAGTATATTTAGTAGACAAGTTTGTATTCTTTGCCACAATATCAAAGCATCTTTTTTTCAAACAAGTCTTAAAAAATGGATTAACAAGAAGTTAACAAATACAGCATGTTCCATTTGTATCAATGTGAAATTTGTATTTGTGAGAGAAGTATTGTCACAATTTTTTTCAATTTTATCTATGAGAAAACAATGTAAATATGCAGTCATTTTGTACCCTCACCTCATGGGTCTTCAGTTTGTTATGGAACTTGTTTTATTCCACAAAGTGTATATGGAAGTGATTTGTGTTTATTCAAAGGAGAAGCCATAAGATCAAAGGCAAATTTTGACATTTTTTCTTTTCTCCTCCATAATTTCATAAAGTTACCATTCAGTTAGCATAAGCCCAAAAGAAAAGTCAATGTAGATAAAAAGATGAACCAACCATATGTACACAAATGAGAAATAAACTTTAAACTTTCTCAAATTAATTCAGTGCTCACGCCAATAAAGTGAATCATTCAATCCATAAGAACTACCTTTGTTTCTGGAGTTTCCTCCTATTTTACTACAAATTTTGCCCACTGGTGAGAGCATATGTATTTATTTCATATTATCAGGCTGTGAATTATTCCACTTGCTAAATCTCCTCTTGAAACACTTGGGAGATCCCTGCTAATAACCCTACAAAATTGAGTGTATCAGGGTGATTGACTGTGAAACATCAAAATAATAATAGAAAAATTTTGTCACAGTAGGTACTTGTGGATGAAAATGTCACTGTATGTACTATATTGCTTTTGCATAATTGTTGCATTTCAGATTTGTTCACTGAACAAGCTCATTCAACAGACAAGTTCTCATGAAATTTCACTGGTGGGAGGCATATAAGATTTTCAGGCTTTTAATAGTTCAAACATTTCATCAGCCATCATTTAAAACACTTTACTGCACATATTAGTCATTTACAATATAAAAGCAATATCAGTACAATTCTTTTGAAGTCTGTTTCTTAACCCTTCATTCCCAAGTAAAATCTTAAGGAAAGAATGTGATAGTATCCAATCATTTTTTTAAATTATTGCTGTAATGTTTTCTCCATAAAAATTCTAGTAGGCATTCAATAAACAGAGTCAACATCATTCTACTAATATTATGTCTAATTTCACATTGGAGAGAGAAAGAATAAACCTTTATTTGGCACACACATAAGAAAGAATTTCAAACCAAAGCAGAATAAAAAGCATAATATAAAGCACTGTGTTTTAATTTTATCTTTTAATTTCTTTAAATGTATGGTATTATGTATGTGATCACCATATTTTTCAAAATGTGTATTTGTGTCTTTTCCTTAACACTCTAATTAATAATAAAATACATCATTCTTGACTCACATATTCCTTAGAAGTAATTAGCAATTACTCCCATCATTTACAGAGAATTCTATAGAAAGAATTTTAAAACCCTGTAAATATGTAATCAGCAAGTGTATGGCATATTTTTTAATTAATAGTTTCCATGTATATATCCTATACCTAGGAATTCTTTAAAATATTATTTATTGACTGGTTTTCTGTTAGAAAATCTTCACTGGGGGAAAAAAAATCCTATTTCAGGAGGTAATCTTGGAATACGGCATTCTGACTGTGGTTCTCTTTCCCTCCAACTTCCAAATAGATTGTCTCTGAGCCACGTGGTTCTGATGAACATAACCTACCTGGGTAAGAGTTAGGCCAGAGGTTGCTGGGCCCTGGAGGGAGGACCGCAGTGTGGCTCCCGTCTCCGCGGGCTGGAGGGTCTGCACAAGGGCTGCACGGGTACCGGGGGAGTGGACCTAAGCCCTGCTTTTCCAACAGCAGGCATTCAGCTCTGAGTGAATTTGGCAAAGAGAGAGGAGACTTTATCAGTGACAAAGAGAAGGCTAAATTGGTTGCTAATATAGAAAGTAGGGGTTAAATCCACTGAGGAGAAAAACAAAAACAAAAACAATTCTTTTCTGCAGAGAACAGCCTCCCCTTGCCACATGACTCCAAAAAATTCATAGTTCTCTTTGCCTTTCAGGAATTGCATAATTCCTGTCCTTAAGAACATATCAGTTAACAGATTTGAGCCTCAAATCAGTAAACAAGACAGAAATAGCAGCCAATTTAAAGGACCTCAGCGGCAAGAGACAAAGGAGGAAGGAGCACAATTCGAACCTGAGCCCCTGGCACTGGATTGTCTGTCTCGGCAGCTTGGCGCCACCCCCACCCCCACTCCGTGTAAGACCCCTTCTGCATCTCAGAGAGGGAGCTTGGAGCTTTGGGCTTCAGAGTCCCCTTCCTGTTTGCTTTTGAGTTAAGTGTTTCCTCCATGAGAGGAGCTTGAGCGAGATTGTGGAAATGGAACGGGAGGGTTCATTACCCTGGAGAAGGCTGCAGTCGTGCCATTCACAGCAGCTTCTCCGGAAGGTCTTGATCTCATCCGCTTCTCTGCTGCAGATGTGGAGAGGTCTTGGAACATGCTCAGCGCTCTTGAGAATGACTGGCGTTTCCTGTTGTACTTCCGCAAACCAAATGCTTAGCGTGCTTCAGGCTGAGTTCCTAAATGTTTGCTTCTCCAACCTTCCTGCTATAGATAGATTCTTTGTTCTTTCGTATTTTCCCTGGACTTTCATTCCTCTTCCTTTTCCAATATTCAAGTAAACCTTCATGCCTATGTTCTACCTTTATGCCCAAAAATACATAGTGTGTGTCCATTTTCCAGATAAAACCCAATGAAATAAAGATCCAATAATGATATCACTATACATACATTTATGCTTACATTTATATTTTTAGTTATTTATATGTTTCTGGTCATATCTGACCAGACGTAGATGCTCTGAGTAGGGCAGTAATGTGGTTTTGCCAACAGATTCATCTGCTTATGCATTTGCTTCACAATATGCATTATGAAGCCTCAGAGTGACTTTGAAGAAAACATTCAATACATGACTTAAGGGAGAAGAAAGTAGTTATTGCTAAGACCCAAAATAATGACCTGAAAAACAGCTGCAAGAAATATCACAAAGCAAGTAATAAAAATATTGAAACACAAATATTATAAAAGAAAAGAGCCTTGGAGGATATTTACATGTAGACCTAACAGCTCAAAGAATTGGCAAGGATTAAATTAGTAACTCAAAGAAAGGGTCCCTGGGCTTTGAAGAGGACTCCAGATCAAAAGGTCGCATCACAATATTACTGGAGAAAGAAATGCACACCTGGTCATACACTGATGGAAGTGTTCAATCCAAAAAATAAAGAAAAAAATGCTTTTTTTTACTCTTCCCTACAGAAAGAACAAGAGAAAAAAATCATATAGTCATTGTACATTTCTGCCACACTGCTGCCTGTGTAGTACCATCATTGTGCAGTTTCTAAGATTCCGACTCCAGAGAATCTTTTCCCTGGCCAGGAAGTCGTTGTCATGAGCAAAGAAATCGATTTTTCTGAGCATTTCTAGCCCTAGTCTAGACTGACAAATTAGTCATGATCATTTGAAATTTAAAGATTCTCTGGCTATACAAATAGCAGTATATCTTTTC